GTTGCTCTTTGTATGTCAGTGGGAGGGATTGACCCATGGGTGAGGACTGACTCATGACTATAGTGGAGGAGCCATTGTGCGGGGACTACCCAGTCTGCCCTTTGGGTGTGTCTTTAGATGTGGACAGCTCAGTCCAAAGCTGGCCACTGGGCATGCCAAAGCTCGGGGCCTGCTGGGAGGGGCCTCACCACAAGCCAAGTTCAGACACAGCCTGTGCCCTGCCTGGGGCCACTTGGCATGAGCCACCAAGCAATCTGCAGATGGCCACCACTCACACTGGGCTTGGAGTTGTCTTGAGAGACCAAGCCTCAAACTGGAACAGACTGTTGCTAGTGTCAGGCTTGAGGCTGTTCAGCAAGAGATACGGGCACACTGAGGCCAGATGCTGCTTATGTGGGTTTTGTGAACCTTTGAGAGATTTTTAGGGAAGTCTGCAATGTGAGCCAGGACAGGCCATTTGAATGGAAATGCCACTGGAAACGGCTTGGGTGGGCCCACAAGTTGGGTGGGGCAGGGAATCACCAGGGCAGGGCAACCGGTGTTAGCCAGATTTATGGAGACTCAGATATCACCTGTGTCTGCAAACTGGGTTGGGGGAGGGCCCAACAAAGGAACAATGGCCTCTGTCAGCATTTCTGTCTGGGAGAAAGCTAATCCTACATTTCTTGCCCTGAAACCATTCAGTTCTTCCTTGTATGTCCCTGGCACCCTTTGAGCTGCTGCCCCAGCACTGGAGCCCAGAGTGAGTGAATATATCAGTGAATAAGTTCACACATGGATGGTTCCTCCAAGAGGAATTCTTGGGACCCCCACAGCCCTCTGCCCCACTCAGCCACAATCTCCACTGATTTTCACATTCAGATTGTGGGGACTTCTTTTCCCTGCACTGGAACCCTGGGTTGGGAAGCTCAGTGAGGGGCTGGGACCCCTCGCTCTGCAGTCAAGATATCTCTCCCAATTTTCAATTGCCACACGTGGATGTGGGACCAACCTGTTCTGCATCTCTACCCCTCCTACTGGTCTTGAGGTAGCCCCTTCTGTATGTCCTCAGTTATAGGACTTCTGTTCATCTAGATCAGGTGAATTTCAATGATGGTTGTTCTGTACTTCAGTAGTAATTTTGATGTCGTCATGACAGGGGGCAAACTCAGCATTTACCTACTCCACCATCATGACCGGAATCTGCAGAATACTTTCAAAGAATTCTACTATAAAGAGAAATGAGATGGAAGCTGGAGGGGTATGTGGGATCAAGAGAAGCTTAAAAACAATTGTTTTTAATGTGAGTAATTACAGTGTGTTTGGCTGTTGATTAGAAAGATCCTCTAGAGTGGAACAAATGGCAGCTGCAGGAGTGAGATGGGACAAATGCTGGATCAATATTCTTGGGGAGGGGAGAGGATCCCCCTGGCATGCAGAAGGAATGGTTAACCTCTGAAGTTCATTTACAACAATGGGAGAGAACCAGAGTGCAGACTTGTGACTCAGGTAAATTGGTACTTCTGATGGGAGTAGGAGGAAGTTCTCTGATTCTTCTATTTCTCAGTGAAATGGGAAGCAAGGTCATTTATTTCAGAGAGTGAGGATCTGGGAGGGAGGTTTTAGAAGTTTGAAAAGAGAAATGATAAGGTGTGAAAGGTTCATTTTGGGAGAAAGAAACCCCTGGATGGGTTCCAGTGTACAAAAATTTACTTCATTGGGTGATCACAACCACTGTTCGTCATTTTAAAATCCAGATTTATTGTGGAGAAGTAATATATCTCCAAAAATATCAGACTGAATGACCACTCATGTCTAATAGTCCCCAAAAGTAGTAAGTTGATATCCCCATTACCTCTGTTTTTTACATGGTTGTAAGATGGGAAATAGAGGAGGATCAAATCCCACATAATTACAATTGTTTTAGTGAGAAAAGGAAGGTTAGGTGTTAGAGAGTTACAGAATAACAATTTTAAAAAGTTGTTTTTTCTTTGGACATTTTAGGGTAAAGGTATTTCTTTTATTATAAGTGCCTAGCTGTACAAGCAAAATACCACTGAGCAAATTCAGTAGTTGATTATATTTAGCTTTTGGTTAAAAAAAAAAAGTTTTTATTTTTCTATTTTACTATTATTCTATCATTAGGAACACTTTTCTTACACATATTTTTCACTTTTTTCCCACATTTATTACTCAATGTTATAAAGAAAATACACTTTTAAGTACTATAGTTGTATTGCTCACTAAATAGTTTTTTTTTTTTAATTTCAGAAGTGTTAATTTTTTATTATTATGTTGTTGTGTAAGGAAGTGAAGAATTTTATTCAACTGAAAATTCTAATGAAAGAAGAATATTATTTACCAAAGAACTTGTTCGGAAGTAGGGTTTGACCAGGAGGCAGGAACTTCTAGGCAAAGAAAGAAGGAGGAAAAAGAAGGAAGAAAGGAAAGGTGTTTGGTAGATATTCATGGGAGAACTAAGAGTGAGAAGATGAGAGGCATGAATGCAGTTTTGGAATTTGAAAGGATTAGAAAGGAGAAGAAATGGAATCACTTTATTGTTCTTTAAACTAAAAATAACACCTGAAATTGTTTTCAATTACTTTTGTTTGTTGAACTTTTTCTTTTGAATATATAATTCCTGAAACTGGATTATGTGAGTTCCTGGGATTTAATAGGGTTAGATTACAGCTGTAATTAACAATGACATGGTTCACATTTATCACTCAATGTTATGATAAATAATACACAAATACTTTAAAGTAACTGTGTTGCCCACCCATCAGTTTTTTTAAAGCAAATCATGTGATAAATTTTCACTTAATTTTTATTACGATATTGTTGTGTAAGAAGGTGAGGAATTTCATTCACCAGGAAATTCGCATCGAAAACTATAACGAAGCCTCATTTTGTGCCTTTAAGTGCTACAGTATTGTGTTTCTTAAACTAAGGAATCTTCTTTAGTATAGAATCTTCTTTATTCTGTATTGAGTTGGGAAACGGTCATTTCTTTTGGATGTAGATGACCTTTTTCTTTTTATATATATTCAAAAACTTATTTATGATTATTATTACCATTTCTACTATCAGTAACGTAATTACCTACTTTTAGTGGCCTTGTAATATGGTTAGAAAAAGAATAGATTTTACTTTGCTTGTGCTTTTCTTTCCTTAATCAACAGGTTTATAATATAGTCCAGAGATATTTGTCTTTTCTATTTCAAATGTATAATATAAAGAACTTTAAAGAGACTATAATCCATGTGGACATAAAGTAGTCACATAACTATAATTATTTGATATTATTGAGCCTGGAAAACACATTTCCTTTCAAATCTGACTGCTTTATCTTGATGCCATTTTTGGCAGGTGCTCATCAAAGGAGATCTCTGTGAGATATCCTCTGTAGGCATCATACATTACATCTCTGTTAAATGAAGCATTTCTTCAAATGAACGTCAGGAATTTTGGACTCTATGGGAAGAAGGAAGAAAGAGGACCAGCCCGTTTTCCAGATGGAGAGTATGACTGGCCAGAATCACTGCCACAGCACTGGCAGTGAGAAAAGGCACCATCTGTTGTGGCAGTTCAGTGCTGGCCTTTTCCAAGGAAGCAACAGAAGTGCCATAATTTCCTGTGAAAATAGAAAAGATACTTTAAAACTCTTTTTTGTACTCTCAAGGACAATGACTTTGATTATACATAAAAAGAATATGCCTTTATAAAACTGAGGAATTATGTAATAACTTTTCACTTGAGCATAAGGGTAAAAACTCTTGAGTTCTACAGCCAGACTGCCTGAATTTGAGACCTGGCTCTATCACTTACTAGTCTTGTGACTCTGGATAGGTTACCCTATGCTTCGGTGTTTCAGTCTTCCCATCTGCAACACTGGAAAGATAACAGTATTTATCTCAAGGCTCTGCAAACTAAATGAAATTGAGTAGGTAAAGCATTTAGAGCACAAAGCAAGTATCCAATAAATACTATTATTGCCATCATGTCATTTAAGTAATGGGCTCCTTTATTTTATTTGAAATATTTTATTATGTGGTATAAATGAAGGATCACTGGACTTGGATTCAGAATTAGTGGATTTTGTTCCCAATTTTACCATTACTGTTATGAGATGCCTTGAGCACATTGCTTAATCTCTCTGGGCCTGAGCTTCCCCACCTATAAAATAGGATAAGATAGTATCTAAGTATCTTTCAACACAAACATTATTTGCCTCTATTTATAGCTTTTCTTAAAACTTAGAAATATCTTTAAAAAAATACCTGTCCTAGTACTGAACCTACACTAGTAGTACCTACATATACCCTCACAAATACAAACATGCTCACACATTCTTATTGTGCGAATTTCTTTACACATCCCTAGGCTGATGCAGAACCACTGAGCAAAATATAAATTGTATAAACTTTTTTGGGTCACAATGATACTGCACTACAGGAAACAACTAGTATATTATTTTTTTTTTTTAAAAAAATCATTAAAATTTAATCCCATTAAAAAATAAGGAGCTAACATGAAACATACAGTTTCTAAAAAAAAAAAAACAAACCATCATCATAGTACGAGTTCTTCTGAAAATTGAGCCTGTTTTGATCAGCAGTATAAGCACACCTCATCTAGTTGGATATAAAAGAATTGAAATGTAAGTGGGTTTTGGAGAAGGTAATATTTATGGTAATGTGTGTACTAAAAAAACAGAGATGCTGCAAGAGACATATATATGTATATATATGTACATGTACATGTGTATGTATATGTATATTTTTTTTAATTTTTACTACATTTCTTAGAAAATGCATGAACTCAGTGGTGATTCAAGAGGATACAAATTAATACAAAAATTTTTGAGAAACAGCAGTCTCTGCTCCCAAACGAGGAAAACAAGAAAGAAATAAAAACAAATTTAAAATCAGGAAGGAAAACAAATACCTAAAAGCCATAACTTGGAAGTTTTAGGTTAAGAAAAAGAGAAGAAAGTTAAGAATTTCTTGCTTTCCACTCACCTGGTGGTTTCTCCACTACTTGGGAATACAGAGATGAAGGACCATAAGCTGCTTCCACCTGAAGAGGTAATGTGGCCATAGGGGCTTGCATTTTGACATGGTGTTAAGTGACAGGAAAGACATGGATGGAATAGGCAGGTCCTAAAGTTCTTAAGGGAGCAGTGCCAACAGATAGTCCCCATATGCCTGATGGCAATCTAGTGGCCATAACTGTGCACAGCTACAGACTAGTAAGTAGACTTTGCTTAGGGCACCAAACTAACCCTCTGCTGAAAAGTTGGGTAACTCTTAAAGGTCATTGAGGAAGGGTATGTATTCATTTGCTAGAGCTGCCATAACAAAGTACCACAGATTGGGTGGCTTAAACAATAGAAATGTATTTCCTTACAGTTCTGGAGGCTAGAAGTCCAAGATCAAGGTGTCTACAGGGTTGCTTTTATTCCAATGCTTCTAGGAGAGCCATATTTGGGTGATATATCATTCTTGCTACAGAACTATGTAAGAGGTGATCAATATTTTGACACAACCATTTTGATGGTGATAATTTGTGGCATGCTAAAAAAAATCATTTGACTTTCAACTTTTAAAAATTACCAAGTAACATGCCTAACAGATACTACCATCTCTCCTGGCCCCTATCCCATTCGTAACTCTCATTTTTCATTCCTCCTCTTTTAAAAAATATTCTAGTTTTAAATTGATATCTTTATTTATGGATTTTTAAAAATTGTGTTACCAATACACATAATATAAAATTTACCATCTTAACCATTTTTAAGTGTATGATTCAGTGATATTAAGTATATTCACATTGTTTTGCAACAATCACCATCCATATTTAGAGCTCTTTTTCATCTTGCAAAATTGAAACTCTATAACCATTAAATAATAGCTCCCCATTCCTCCTTCCTTCCAGCCCCTGGGAACCACCATTCTACTTTCTGTCTGTATAAATTCGACTACTCTAGATATCTAGGCATCTGTCCTTTTGTGACCGACTTATTCCACTCAGCATAATATCTTTGAGGTTTATCCATGTATTAGCATATGTCAGAATTTCCTTTCTTTTTAGGGCTAATAATATTTCACTATATATACATATATACACACACATATATATATATATATAATATTTGCTAATCAACTCATATGTTGCTGGACACTTGTGTTGCTTTTACCTTCTGGCTATTGCAAATAATGCTGTTATGAATATAGATGTACAAATATCTCTTTGAGGTCCTTTAAATTCTTTTGGGTATGTACCCAAAAGTGGAATTGCTAGATCATCTGGCAGTTCTATTTTTAATTTTTTGAGAAACTGCCACATCGTTTTCCATAGTGACCGTACCATTTTACATTCCCACCAACAATGTACAAAGTTTCCAATTTTGCTACCAACACTTGTTATTTTCTGTGTTTTTGATAGTAGCCATCCTAATGGGTGTGAGGCATTCCTTTCCTTTTAACCGATCAAAGATGTGAGGATTCCAGTTAATTGGGATCAGTTGCCTGGGAGAGCCTCTGGGTAAAGGACGCTAGCAGCTCTTGGCAGTGGTTAAAGAAACAGAGTACAAGATATATTGAGCTAGAAAATGCATCACCATGCAGAAGTTAATTGGGATCACAGAAAATGGGCTCTTCACAGCCATTTATCGTGCTTTAATAGACTCACTCAGGATAAAGGGAAAACAAATCCTGTTAAGTTATGGTGCTGTGATAGGTATAAAAGGAAGCTCATACTTCTGTTTTGATCCAGGAGTTTAAGAAGAAGTGAAAAGTAGTGAAGTACTCAGGAGGAATGTCTCTTGGGGCAGTTAAAGTTGCTGAGTTTTACTTTGGTGAAATGCTTCCTGGAAAACCCCACTTCTTATTCTCATTAATGCTTACCAGAGAGCCTTACGTAAGGCAGTGAAAGAAAATTGTCCAATGAGGCAGTGTTACTCAGGCTGAGGTCTTGGGACTCAGCCAGCTCAAGCTTCATTGACTTTTGCTTTCATTTTTTTCTTTGCTACTGGTGGGCGTGAATCCAGGCACTTTTTAACCTCCTGTCTATACTTGTGGCTTACTCTCTTTGCATGAGTGGAATTTATTTCTGTTGTAAGGGAAAGGTTTGTTTTTCCCCTAATCCCCACATTTTGTATTACTGACGACCACTGTAAACAAGTTTTTGGCATCCATTTGGAGCTGTTCAGATGAAGCTTCTCACCAATATTTGTGAATGGTAGGGCTTGAATATAGGCAACTGAGGGATATGATGTGTTTGCTGGGGCAGCAACCTAAGGGGAACTTGTGCACGGAGGAAGAAGCTTGAGTGGACACAAGGAGAAGACAGACACCTGTAGGCCAAAGAGAGAGGCCTCAGAAGAAACCAACCTTATTGACACCTTGATCTGGTACTTCCAGCGTCCAGAATTGTGAGAACATAAATTTCTGCTGTTTAGGTCCTCTGGTCTGTGGTACCATGTTGTGGTAGCCAGAGCAAACCAACACCGTGCCTCTTGGTGAGACAAAGAAATGGAGGAAAAACCAGTTTGTCTTCTTTTCTTCTGTGTGTGTGTGTGTGGGTGTGTGTGTGTGTGTGTGTGTGTGTGTGTGTGTGTGTGTGTGTGTGTGTGTGTGTGTGTGAGAGAGAGAGAGAGAGAGAGAGAGAGAAGGCAAAAGATAAAGCATGGTGGAAGAGAGCAGGTAGCTTTTCTTTTGTTTTGGAGAACAAAATTAGTGAGATGGTAATTATTCCTTCTCTCTGCGCTTCCTATGAAGAGGGGAGCTTTCATCTGTCTGTCCCATCCCACGTAAGGAGTTAATGATAACCCCCTCTAGAAGTTGGGGCCCCCAAGAGAATTGAGGCATGCTGTGGGTGGGGAGGAACTTGGCGACAGGCTGAGGCACATCAAGGGCAGGGCGGGGTGAATATTGTTACCTCCTGGTTGTCTCAGAGAAGCAGCCATTTCTGTGGGAATTCTGGCATTTTGTGTCCACCAGGATCTCTACCAGATTCAGGCACTAGCAAGAACACCCAAATCACCCTACAGGATCCCGCCCCTCTGTAGTCCATGGAATGCAACTGCACCCAGATTTCGCTAACAGCATTTTCTTTGGTTGAAGCTAGTTTTGCCTAAAATGGCATTGTGACTCAATTGTCTTTTTTCTGCCTTTATCCTTCCACCTTTGTATACCTACTCTCTTAATCATTAAACCTTAGGACATAAGGTTGTGGTCAGTGCCAAATCTTTTAAGAATGAAGCTTCAAGTCTATTGATCAAGAGGACAATATGTTTTGGTTACACTAAAGATAATGTCTTGGATTTATATGTGTTTCAGCCCCAGGCCCATCCAGGCAGAGCAGCCCCACCGACCATGAGACCAGAGGGGATGGCACCATGGCTGATTCTAGAACCAAATACGATAATTAATTACCCCAGCCTGGTCCAATCAGTAACACTCACAACCCCCAATTTCCTTAGCTTCCATGACTGATGATTTTTCCCTATGTAATCCCCTTGAGACACCCGGGAAGCCAGATTTTTGAGAGAGATAGCTCACCTTTATCTTTGGGACTGGTATTCTCTAATAAATCTTTTCTTTACTGCAAAACCTGTATATATCTCATTGACTTAGACATGTTCAGACAGGCGAAACCCTTTGCTTTGGAAAAGGGAGTAAATGCCACCCACGGCTCACACAAATGGCTGGCACCTGTAGGAAGAACGTGAGTCCAGATGAGGTACAATGCAGGTGAGGTGCAGGTGAGAGCAGGAGTGGGCAGCCTGCAGCTCACTGGACAGGGGAGAGGGGCTCCACCTGGACAGTGACCCCAAATGACAGATGTTCAAGGCCGGATGAAAGTACAGTTTACTCACCTGGACTGAAATTACCGAGGTTCTGAAACACTTAATCACTAAGTGTTTCAAATTCTTCCCCCGCCCCTTCTAGGGCATGGAGGAGGAAAGTGGGCACAGTTCCACAAAGCAGTCATTGTCAGTTACTGAGAAGGATAAAACCTCTCCACATTTGTTTTGATTGAGCTGAGAATACTAGAATCCTTAAAAAGTTGGTTTGAGGACCACTGTTGAACAGTGATTATTGTGTAATCAATACTCGTAGGCTGGACTCCAGGACTAACACAAGGTATACCTATAGTAACAACCAGAAAAACTATACCTTAAGGTAGAAAGCATTACCGGATACAAAGAAGGTCATTTTATGAAGATAAGCATTAAATTTATCAGAAAGAAATAAGAATACTTGTGTGTACTTTATACGTCTTTAATACACAAAGGAAAAAAAATTCGAAGAAATAGACAAATCTGTCTTCATAGTGAGATATTTTGATACTCTTTCAATTATTGAAGATCAAAAGATAATTATTCTATAAGGACATGGAAGATTTCAAAAATATTGCTAACACTATTGTAATATGACACAGTACAAAACTTTGCGCCCAAAATATTGGAAAATGTGTAATTTTTACAAGAACACATGGAACATGTACAAAAATTGACCACAAATGGGCCATTAAGACAATTTTAACAAATTTCAATGGTCACATTTTCTGACTACAGTGAAATCAAGTTAGAAATCAACAAGAAAACTAAAATTCCCATGTATTTAGAAAATTTAAAAACACATTTCTAAGCACTTCATAGATTGAAAAAGAAAACACAATTAAAATTTAAAAATATTAAAAACAGAATGATAATATTAAACATTAAAACTTAAAGGATGTAGATAAGGAGATAACAATAACAAAGTGAAGAAACAATAAAGAACAGTAACATTAAAAGCTGGTTTATTGAAAAGACAACTTTCTGGGAATGATAAAGGAAATCTACAACTAGACATATGGTAATAAAAATTTCAAAACATCAAAGACAATGTAAAATTCTTAAAGTAGGTAGAGAGGAAACAATTATTATGTAACAAAGAACAAAATTAGATGGGTAGTAGAGGTGCCAAGAGCAAAACCGAAACTAGAAGAGAAAGAAACAATAAAGTGTTGAAGGAAAGTAATTTTCAACCTAAAATTATATATTCAGCAAAACTGTTCTTCAAGATGAAGGCTGAAATGTAGACAATTTTGGTACATAAATA